TTCTGAAAGGGTGCTTCATAAGAATGCATTTATGTTTAGGTACTTCTTGTTGCATACAAGTGTTTCCATTATAAACTTTATATCTACAGGTGGGATAGGTTGCCCGGACAATCATTTAAGGTGATTAGAACAGCTACTTGGTCTCAGATTTAAGGTCACTAACTCCACTGACAAGGTCCAAGCCTGTAAAGTTTGAAGCTTTTCGCATATCGAGGAACATCATGATTCATATGAATCAATCGCAACTTAAAAAGATCGGGCCATTATGATGCATTATAGCTACATTTTTGGGAACTGTAGTAAATAAGGCAGGCTCTCCAGTTTGTACGAGGCATCAAATAGCATGATGTGATTCATAAAATTTGAACAAGGTAGCACTTGTTTGCCCCCCCTTTTTTTCTTTAACTTGGATGCAAAGCTGTCAGCAATCCTGTATCAATTCTAGAATATCCAAACAGTTCTTTTCTTTTCACTTTGATTAAGATGGCATGCTTACTGTGAGCTAGAAATGTGGTAGTATGTCTATTTACACTATTTTTGAGCTCCATTTTTCAGTAGAATAGATTTTGTAATAGTAATTTTTTTGGAGAATATGTGGTTAATAAGTATGGAAAAATTTTGGGTTTACATGTAAATTATTGTATCGGGAGAATATGTGGTTGAAAATGAGTTTGGGAAAAAATGAATTTTTAAAAAATGGGGCTCAAACAGGGCTTAATCTAGTCGCGACAAAATTCCATTCTTCAAAAATAGTTGTGCTCTCTCCTGTTTTCCTAATCATGTGTATGGATGAAATGTTGTTAAGCATCAAACATTGCATGGCTTTGGTGATCATAGTGGTGTCACCAAACAAACGTTTGATGCAAAAGGGAGGTTAGCCTGACATATCAGCCCCAGGTAATAATATTTTATTTGGAGTTATAATTCATGCTACATCGTATTCGGTGAGAAGTTCTCTGTTTAGAGTAACAAGACTTAGGAACCTCAAAAGCTTCATTTTGTTTGGCGTTTTACTTCCTTCTAGATCACATTCCTGACGAGTCATGAAAATGCAGAAGGTTACAACTTAAATTATTTTTTCCTTCTATTTTACATTGATATCCTGTGGACAATAATTCCAATAAAGCATCAGTTACAAAGTGGGTTTCGGCGACTGAGTTGGTATCACCAAACATAGAGGCCAATTGAAAAGCAAGGTTTCTTGATATCGTATTTGGGGCTATATACGCTGCATTTATGGTAAGATCGTTCAACAGGAGAAAAGTGCACTTCACTCATTCTTTTCTTTGTTATTCTGTCGCTCTATTCTCTCTGTTTCTGATAACATATTCTGCTTGTAGATGAGTTGAGAAAGCAAACTGACTAAAATCTCGCGAGAACTGCAACCTTCAAAGTATGCCAATGATTACTACGCCAATCAGTGCATGGTAAATTGTCCTTCTAGTTACTGAACCTGAATTTTTTTTGGTAAGCTCCCTGATTTTCTCTGCCTCTTCCTTGTCTTTCTCTACTTCAATTGGTGTTTTTGCCTTCAAGTTTTTGAATAATAACCTTTCATTTCTCTCTCTTTCAATTTGGTCTTCAAAGTCTGTTACTGTTTGTTCGTTCTTCTCAATCTCTAATTTCTTCATCTCCGCAGATTCTTCAAAGGCTTGCATCTGGCTCTCTATATTTTCCATTATCTGCTCAACAAATGAATAAATCCAGTTATTTACAGATGAAATTTCCAAAGAGGTCTAATTTTTTTATGCCTTTAATATAAAAGAAGTTGAACAGACCCTGGCACCGGCTTCGTCCAATTCACTCAGGGCATTTTCTCCTATCTGGTCAATTTCAGCATTGGCTTCTTCAGCAAACTGGGTCAGGTATGCTGATCTTTCGTCCAAGTAATCAGTGAGACGGACCTTTTGGGCTTGAAGCATTGCAAGTCTGGCAAGAAGCTCCTGCTTACGAGTTTCTCCTTTAGGTGCTCGATCCTCTGAATTTGAATTATCCAAGTCATTGGACTTGCAGAGGGAGAGAATAAGCTACTGGCTCTGAAAGTTCTCTCTTTTGGACAAGATGATGGATCGGAGTGAATGAGATTTGAATTACTTTAAGAAAAATCACAAGTCTGTTTTCCCTTTGTTGGGGGAGTTGGGAAGGAGAAGGGGCTTCAGTTTCACATGCGAAATAGAATTGTCTTAGACCTCTCATTAGACTTTGCCTTATCTTCTCGTGAGTATTTTTATACTCTTGAAAGGGATATACAAGTGATTCATATCATTTGAACTACTTAATAGTTGTCGTTAAAGTTTGACTAATAAAAGATTATTTATTCCAAAATCTACTTATTTACTTATAAGTAAACTTTTCAAGCTTAACCAAACATGCTTGTGTTCCCA